GCTTTGCTACCAGTGCAAAAATTTCATGTGCTAATTTCATCAGTATTAAATAAAAATGCATATTTCTTCACAATATTCCTTCTGACAGTACTCCTTACTTTTTACGGTAAACTCCCTTTTCACGGAACAGAATTACAATGGTTGTTTGCGACAAAGTTCAGATTCCTTTTTAACATATCTTAGTAATTTTTCGATCTATTTGCCGAATGATAATATGTAATTCATATATTAAAATATCGAACTGCCTGCGGAGGATTCGCTGTGATGCTGCATGGCGAAACCAAATTTTTGACGTTAGCTACATTACGACGTAGGTCGGAGCGTGGAGGTTGACGTTACGCTCCTAGATTCGCGCAAGATGGGTCGGTGTTTTTAAATTCCAGTCTTTTTTTTTACTCAGATTCTAGCTTAATAATCCAATGCTCACCAATGAATAACATTCTTACAGGGATATCATCATGTCAAAATGCAATCTGTGGTGGTTTACGCAAAAAAGAAGTCCATATGATTTAGCGTAACTTACCTTCAATCAGCTGCATATACAAGAATGACTGCCCAAAACAGTAATAAACAAGAGAGGTAGAATTATAGAATAAAGAAGGTATAATGGTATAACAGGGTTATCATCACTTAATCCGCCATCAAAAACCAGTGATAACATATGCAAGCCCCATCGCTATTGTTCGAAATAAGGTTACGGTTGCCGACATGCGGCTTTACGAATAAAAGTTAGGAGCTGAAGCACAGCTGAAGAGACACACCTGGAGGTCAGTTTTAGATTTTGAACGTTGCAGGTGACGCGCAAAATTCCACCTCGCAAACTCTTTTATTTTTTGAGCGCATTCGAAAGCATGCATTTACGCTTTCATAGCGGCTCAAAAAATAAATGGGTACCATTTCAATTTATTTTGCAAAGAATGGCTCTACCGCATCAGATTTTTGCATGAATTAATCGTGCAGAATGCCTTTGGACAACCACTTGCTTAGCTACGTGCGTGTTGAGTCGGCAGACTGAAATAGCAATGCTATAAAGATGGATTATCTAAGCCAGTCGGGCAGGCGGCGTGGAAAATAGGAATATGTTGTCTGGCAAAGGTGATGCTCGAGTGGCAATAAGAAGGTTAAACGAAGTGTACAAGGAAAGTCTCTCCGGCGAACAACAATCAACGCAGATGTCCTTGCTGAACTCCTTGCCACCTGCTAGTCCCTGCAATAATGCTCCTCTATCTTGACACCGCCTTCTACAGTCCCTTATTTCAGCCAATTTTCTTGCACTGCCTGTATTATTCCCTTTTTTCCTCATATTGCAAGTGCATCGATAGCGCAAATTTTTTGCGATCAGAAGTAGCAAGATATAAACACACTTGAAGCTGAAACACTGGATATACGAAGGTCAAAACCTTATCCCTTACACTTGCGGCAAATGCAGCATTTCCTCTGCACACAAAAACAGAGAGCAGCAAAAAGTCTCAGTTCCCAGTTCAGGAATCGGGGCGTCGAAATTATCGCAATGATAACCACAATCGAAATTTTAGAGAAACATGTTTCAGAAGGGAAGCTTCACTGTTGTCAGTCAATAAACAAATCTGTGTTTCCGATGCCGTCTGCTTCACGATTTATTGGTTGTCTATGTTTTCTTGTGTTTATTAAATGACTAACAATTGTTGACAAATAGAAAAAGAGGGATATAAGATAGACTACAGAATAGATTTTACATGCCCTGAATATATAATCAAATTTCGCAGGCGTCGCAAATGGTGCCATCGGCAGAAAGCAGCTGTTATATATCTAAAAAACTGCACAGTTAAGCAGAATTTTACCTCAGTTAAGAAGTTGTATACTTCTCTCACCGCTTCTGGATGCTTACAGGCATACTGAAGCAGCTTCTCAAATTTTTGTCGAAGGCTTTTTGACCTTAATAATGCTGCTTCGTAATTTTTGCCCCCGTTCAGTAGTATTTTGCAGAGCACAGATTTTCCATCGCCTGCATTCTCTGATAGTAAATCACTACTAGACGGATTTGAAATCTGCAAAAACAAGAAGATGCAAGTGCAAATAAAATGTCTTTTTCTCCTTCGCTCAAAAAACTATGGCAAAAATCCTGGAATTAGATTTAGAGTTCCGATGCGACCGACTCCTGGACTGACTTCCAGTCACAAACGTCTTCGCCGACAGTTAGATGCCAAGGATGCATATGTACCAGGAATATATTATCCAGGCTGGCATTTTTGATATATATATATAATATGCCAAGAGTACCAGACCGGAAAATTATATGTATAATTATCATTATGTGTACAGTAATTATCATTTCATCACAATGCATTTTACGTAAATCAAGTGCGCAAAAATGCAAAAAATAGTGTACTAACATTAGCAGCAGCATCTTCAGGAAGGCGACCATCAGGAAGAAATAGTTTTAGCTGTTCAATTATATCTACAAAACAATGCAAAATTTCTTTACAAAAAGCAAAAAACAATAGATCTTCTTTGCACTGTGGAAAAGCAAAAATCTCATGTATTTTATAGAATTTCTTACAATCCAGGACAAAGCAGCGCGATACTAAATTGCGCCAAAAAAATGTCTGGAAATAAAATATAAATTCTGATACTAAACTGGATAAAATGCAGACGTTAAAGTACATAGAAAAGACTTGTTTCCGCCAAATCTGTTTTAGGAATTCGGGTGCATATTGTATTCGCAGTTGTTTCATCCTGAATGTTAGATCCGTCAGTCGAAATGAACTGAATCGCAACAAGGTAAACTGCTCATTCTTATGGAAATTTTTAGGGAACTGGCCTTCAAATGTAAAAATTTAAACAGGTCAACTAGCGTACCGGCCAATTTGCAAGCAAATTTTGCATCGTTTGCTTT